GAAGATTTGAGGTTAAACTTTGGCCTCTCCTCCGTTCTAAATGAAATCGGCAATTGGCCTTGTACAAACTATCAGAGGTCTTCTTTGTTATTTATTGAGCTTTAAAACAAATTGATAACGACTCTGTTCTCTGTATAATAATGTTTAATAAACGGTGCCTGCCTCTCTTTTCCTCCCCCTCTTCTGACAGCCCAGCAGCAGCAGGAGACGTGGGGAGAGGGAGGCGGGCTATTTAATCGTAATCAGAAAATGATCATATAGGGCTTACACACGGAGCCGTTGGACCCCCAGAGCGTGGCGTATGCTGGTCTACCCACCTTGGGACCTCCCCCCCCACAGAGCGGAGCAAGGCAACGAAACTTAAAAATAAGAAGCAGCATTTTACGGCGCGCGATGGGGGCCGCCTTGAGGGGTTTCCCGACATGTCGTTTCAGTAAATTAAAGGGTGTTTCATGTTGTCGTTGCTGTGGGACTTCTTAATACCTTGGAAAATGCCGTTTAATACTTTTTAATACTTTTTAAAAGCCTTAATTTTCGCTAAATTGATTTATCAACTTTTAATACTTTTTAAGACCCCGCGGACACCCTGTAAAGTGTATACTACAATGTCTCTTACATCTTAAATTAATACAAACTGAAACGGGCCATTTCAAGAAATGACATTATAATTATATATGCAACATTGCATCCGGGTACAACTTCCTCACAACGTAAAGCAATAAAGAATCATCAGGTATGCACCCCAAATCACTGGCACCCCTCAGACCTTTCTAGTTATACAGTAAAAACAATAAACTAAACGTCATACTTCCTTCCAGCTACTGCCACCAGGAAGCAGCTTCAGAGTAGCCAAAAATAACTTCCAAAAAACTTAAAAGCCATTGGTCACAACAAAAATGCATCTCTCTGTCTAGATGCTAAATTGGCCCTCATTGTGGTAACATACCTCTCTGGCGCCTCGACGTGCACTTGAGGCTGGTTGGCTGAGGGTCCGTTTTCTGCCAGCCCCCCCGCCCCCTGTTGGTTTGACTGCGGTCCGTTCTGAGACGAGCTGCCCTGCAGGCCTGACGTTCCAAACGGCGTGTAAGAGCTTGGCTTGGCTGAGGGCATCCCCCCAATTGTCTGTGGGCCTGAGGAGGCAGAGGGAGGGGTGCTGTTGACCGGGGCAGAGCTGATGCTGGCGCTGGTAGTGTTGGTGCTCTGGGGTCCTGAGGTGGTGCTGGAAGAGCTGGGGGTCTGGGACAAGGGAGAGGCCACAACAGGGCTGCGCTGAGACAGTAGGGAGCTATCCAAAGACTGCTCTGACAGGTATGGAGCTGAAAGGTAAACACCAAAATGATTAGCTGTCATTTCTGCAAACCATGCTACCTTTTCAACTGGGATTTAAGATGAATGAGTAAAGATGTTACCTAGATCATAGCGGCACACTTGAGCAAAGAGTTTGAGCCGATTAAAGGCTTCATTGTTTCCGTCTCTGGCAGCCATCTTAAGGAACCAGTCACTAAGGGGCTGCTCCGTCATGCTCCTGCCTTCTGTGGCGCCGACCTTCAATACGCCCTCTGGGTGACTCTTACAGATGGGCCTGTGTTGCCCAAGCTGGCATGCCTGTCGACAAAAAGGGAGTGAATGAGCAAAATGGAACTGTATGAATCACTTCACAAGAACATGTAACTGTTTTTGTGGGCATGTCCGTACAAGAAGGATGAGTTTCATCCCGTCAGGTGCGTACCTCATACATAGCACTCAGATCTTTGAAGAAGGTCTTTGCGCCGCGGAGTAGAGCCTCATTCTCTGGGCAGATGACAACATATCCCACATCTCTCTGGGAACCAAAAGGATCCAGAAGAAGCTTCTCCCAGTATGGCAAGCCGAAAGGAGACAGCACCACAAAATCATACTCATAACCGACCAAGAAAGTGGGGATGGGCAGAGGCTCAGGAGACTCATCGGTACCTGTAGCAAAAAGACATCAAATGTTATTTCAACAAATACAATATTCGATATCAGATCTCTATTTTTGTTAAGAGATTAGAGTGTTTAGGTAAAAACATTTCCACATACCATATGATCCCCTCCCAGCCATCTTGTGGAACTGTTGCCAAGTGAGCGGTCCCTGAACGCCCCAGGAGCGCACACTCCTCTTCTTCTGAATGGTGTCCTGCAGCACAGGCTGCAGGGACAACAACACCCGCAGGACGTCCTGAGAGAATAGCTTGCTCATGTCTGCTGCTGCAAAAATAACAAAGACAAAAAATGTTTTAACTTCATCATGTTTGTGTTTAGGAATAAAAAAACAAACGGGGGAAAATAAGCTTGTTGTTAGAAGAAATTGACACAAAAAGAATACATACATTTGCATTTTGGCCAGTGATGAAGACAGGTGCTCTTCACTAGTGCTTCATCTACTTTTCCCCCTGACATATTGTCCATGAACTGCCTGCCGTGCTCCAGTGCCATGTAGCAGTCATTATAACAGTCTCTCTCTTCCACCCTCAGAAATGAACTGGGTGCTGAGCTCTGCTTGGTGTATTCTACGCCTGCCATGGGGGCAAAAGGGTTGGTGCACTGGTCCTGCAGCAGCAGGATTAGCTCATCCGGAGGCTTCTCTGTCAGGCTGCCAGCTTTGTGAGCCGTGGAAGCTCGCAGCTCTTCGAAACACCGCTCAGTGTCCCGACTTGCGTCCGAGCCGCGCACCACCACGTCCAGCTCGTCCTCCAGAAACAGCCCGGCCGACTGGCCAAAGCGCCGATTTGTGACAGCACTGAAGCCACAAGTGCAGGGGTACTGGGCCTCGCCATTGTCCTTGAGGTACACCCCTACATCTGCTCCTCTGATGTTCATGTTGCAGACACACACGCAGCAACTGTCAAAGTTACAGTCCTTGAAGAGGTTCATGACTGACTCGGACAAAATGAGGGTGACGTAGAGACTGTGAGCCTCGGGGATGGAAGGTACGGTGGCCGGCTCAACAGAGCTGACAGGTCGACAGGTGGAGGCAGTAGAGGCGGGGGAGTAAAGGTCAGAGTTGTCGTACTTAAGGGAGCCCTGGACACTCGACGGGCCGCGGGGAGTGCGTGGAGTGCGTGGGGTGCGAGGCGTAGGCACGGAGAAGCGCGGCGTGGCTGGGGAGGGCAGGATGCCGGTGCCGCTGTTGCTCGGGGGGGCACTGCTGGACATGAAGGGGGTGTGGGTCTGGGGGGTGTAGGTCTGACTGTAGTCTGGCTCCACACTTGGGACGTTACTGGTACCGAGACAAGCAGAAAACTAAAGTTAGTTTTGTGGTTACAACATGTTTTTTGTTTATACAAAAAAAGTTGTTTCTCGATTTTATTATTATTTTTTAAAAACCCATTCTAAAATCTCCATCAGTATTATGCATAATGGTCGATAACCATAACATTACATAAAATTACATCCACAGACATTCTTCCAAATATTGTTTTAAATATTTTCAGAATCACAAACAAATCAACTTTGCAAAAAAATAATAATATTAAAATGAATTTCATTCAAAACATCTGGCTATTAAAATAGTTTTTGGATAAATTCATGTCAAAACTACTTTTTTTTTTTTTTTTAAAAGCTCGACAATGAACAAAAATGTTCGTTTTTTTTTTACAGTTTATTTATTACACATACTTTAATTTGCATCTGGCTCAAATACATTTCCCACACCATTATATGATTAAGCCACAAGTTTCAATTATTAGTGACTGTTAAAGGATATATTAATACATTCTGGTTCAAAGTATAAGTAATGAACATAAAGAAAATCTGCCATAGACTATAAAGTGGTGCCCGATACAAGTTTTGTAACGGGGCTCATCCCAAACAGCCCCCTTCCTCACTTTTTCTGAAACAGCACTGACCTGTCTTTGGTGAGGAGATTGACATTCGTCACTGGGGGTATCAATTCCATTTTGCCCATGGTCCAACTGGGCGTGTACACACAGTCTTCTGGCAGTTTGATAGGCAACAGACACTGGCTTGGTAGCATCTTCAATGGTGCGTACATGGAACAGCCGATTAACAACTGACACGTCTCTGGCTTGTATACAAAGGAGAAGTCCTGAAAGAAAAAAGGGTAAAAAAGGGTGAGATTCACTGATGTAGGTAGACGTTCCACTCATTTCGTACTTGGCAGGTGTGCTTCGTGTCATACCTTTATTTCCGATGGCTTTGGGCTGCAATATCCCTCCTCCACCTCCATCTTGAAGTGGTTGTTGAGCTGGCTGCCGTCCAACAGGGTGAGGCCCGCTCCTCCTTCCAGGCTGTCCTTGCCCCCGGAGTTCATGGGAGAGTAACCCTGCTGCTCCAGGGAGGGCGGGGTGGGAAACATCTGGTGCAGGTCTGCTGAGCCTGGGGAAATAATACGTTATTACTTCTTCTATACGTGTAAAAAAAAAAAAGGTTACAATGCACAATGATGAATTGAAACAAAGTCTCCTTACTTATGCAAGACAGAGGATCCAACGTGGCTCCTTTACTGTCTTTACAGCCAAACTTGTCCTCCGAACCAACTCCAGCTCTTTTGGAGCCAGGCTGTGCAGACAGGGAAAAAAAAAAACTCTATACTCAAAACATTTCATATCAAATCTTTGAATGGGCTTAAAAGTCCCTAATAAACAAACGTTTTCAAGCAAATAAAAAAACTGAAGATTAAGAAAATCTCGTAAATTTCAACTGAAATTGTTGTGCTGCCCTTACCACTAGCTCATCTTCATCTGAATTGAAGATTTTATCCAGGTCGCTGTATGACACGGCCAAGTCGTTCTCGTGGATAAGGCTGGTGGAGGCGGTAGGTTTACTGCCCGATGCACCCTGACCATCTGCACCGCAAAACAAATTGGAAAGGAGACCTTGAATAACCAGACTCCAAACATTACATTTAATAAAACGTCAAACCTATGGGCCAAACGAACAAAGAAAGGGGATTCTCACCGTCTGCTGATCCATTGTCCTCGTCCCCCTGGATTAAAGAAATACAAAGATTAGTTTTTGTAATATTGTAGGAAGACTATGACATATTGTACAGTAGATAATCAGGGAAACCACCGCCATTGTTATTTGCATACAGGATCATTGCATAACACATAGTTCGCTTACAGATATACTCTGCATCTACACAAATAAAGGAATACCGGCAGAGCTGGGATAGTTTGGAAATACTTTCAACACTGGTGAACAAATACAAATAAAACTGATGGGGCTTTTTAAAAAAACACCTTTAATAACTTCCTGTTCCAGTTACCAAAAGAAGTCAAATGCTTCTAATAGGTTAAGAGCTTTCTTAGAACAAACAACTATATAATAACTGAAGATACATTTTCTGAAACTGGCAGACTGATTATAACAGATAAACAACACTAAAGTCTGACAGGCATTTGATGGCAACTTTTTGTACCTGACAATTGTTGATACTCAGTGATACAAACTTAAAAACACTAACACACACAAAAAGGTACCAGGCCGTATTTTGGGGGGTAACCGAAGCAGGATACATAGAATACAAGGCAGTCGATTCATCCAGCCCACCCGTGAACCCACCTTGTTTTTCTTGCTGCCATCCCTTTCTGAGCCAGACTTGTCCTTCTTCTCTGTAAAGCTGAACTCCTCGTCTCCCTCTACAAAGGCGTAAGGGTCTGAATCGTCACCGTGTTCTCTGTCACCTGATGCGGAGGCATAATGGCTGTTTCTCCGCTGGGCGTAGGCCCTGACCAGCTCCTGGGACACCTTCAGGGTATGCGTGGACCCCGACATCAACCTGAGAGGAAATAAATTGAGTTGCCAAGACTGATACAGGCATGTGGTTTAAATTGAACATGCAGCTGAGGCGGAGTATTTCAGCACTTACTCTGTGACGGAGATTACGTTTTCTGTTCCTCCTCCTCCCCCAGAATCATCTCGTATTTTGTCCACAGGTAACAGGGGCGTCAGGAAGTTTGATGCCTTCTTCCTGGGCAGGTTGAAATACTTCCAGGGGTTGTGGGTGGAGTCTTCATTGGGGTTAATGGCTGAACCCACAAAGACAGTAGGTTCCAATGTTTCATTGTAGGATTGGGGGAAAGGCATAGGCATGTTCTCCAGCCGAGGGTCCTCCTCCAAGCCCTTCTGAGGAAGCAGACAGGGCTCCACCGATGGCGGATAGAACGTTTGATGAATGGGCGTGGAAGAGTTCTTCATGCCGCCGGGAGTCATGTCACCTTCTGCGTGATCGCAGGGGTGTGGGCTAAGAGGAGGGGGAGGCGGAGATCCGTTGAGGTCTGCAGGGTGTGTGTGCAGCGTAGGGGCTTTGGAGGACACGGTATCCACGTGGTGCAGACTGGGATACGAGCCGTCGTCCTGTGATCTCAAACAAAGCCTCTGGTTCTGCGGCTCCATGGTCTGCTCCTCGCTCACAGAGTTGCGGTGGTGAAAAGGCGTCTGCGGCCTCTTCTGCTGCTTATCCCCCTTTTCCAGCTTCTCGCCCAGCTTGTGCTTGAGGGCCGGCTGGGCAGGCTGGCCGGATGAAGGCGGGTGTCCTGAGGTGCTGCTGGATCGCTGCTTCTGATTCTTATGTCTGTATAAAGAGAAAGACAATGAGTATAAGACACTTTCCTTTGATTATTAAAATATGTCACTTTTTTCAATTCAACATACCGTAAGCAATTGCAATGAGGCCTGTGAGTACACTCCACAAAATCCCAAAGACCAGTTTTGTCCGACTCCTCCTCACAGGTCCCATTGGTTAAAGTGGTAAACTTCCTCCTATTGAAAAAGGGCAGATTGATATTTATCAGTCACCAGTCACCATGGAGGCAATACTTTGAATACTTTTGAGGAAGAAATGGCACTGCACGTACTTGTTCCCTGTACGGTTTATGTTATATTCCTGCCATACAGACTCCACCATCTGGCTGGCCAGCCTGCGAGGGATTTTACCCCCATGAAGAGTGTTGTTAGAGCTGTAGCCATCCGACGCAGAGGACAACTTCAGCCACCTCTGAGCAGGCTGGTAATCTATGAGGGAAGAAAGATTTAAAAACAATACTGTTATTATGCTGAATCTCTCAGAACAAAAAGACCAATGAAGGCTTTCTAGTCCATATTCAGCCTTAAGTCTCACCAGTCTGAGCCTCCTCTGGTGATGTTGGAGGAGTCAGAGTGACAGAGGACATGGCAGGGTCTCTGTGAGCAGCGTGGCCCTGCTGAGCACCACACAGGCTTCCTGAGGTGTTCACTGAGCCCTGCAGGACCACAGCAGGAAGGTCCGACAGGGGGAGAAGCACCAGGCAGGAAGGGTACACCATCCTAACTCCCGCTGCAACCAAAGAAACACCACCATTTACTTAAAAAAATAAATAATTCTGACCGCATTCGGAAATGATTTGTTTACATTTGTTGCAACATTGCGATTGATTCCACAGCCGGTTAATTGACAAGTTTAGACATAAAGTTCTGCACAACAACCACAAAGATTTTTTTTTAACATTTTGGTGTCTTACCGACGAGGACCTCCACAGCCGCCAGAGAGTCATCCTCCCAGTCTGTATCCTCCATCTTATCTTCCTGGACGTCCTTGGGATTTGGGCTGATGGGATAGAACTGCCTCCACTCCTCTATGAGCTTCTGAGTGGGGTGGTCTGACATCTTGAAAGCCTGACCGGTGAGGGTCCCATTCAAGCCGTATGGGCTAAGGATGACTGCAGGGCAGAGGAGTCACAATACGTATGGAAGTTCAGTAATAAACCCCAACAAAAATGTATTAAAAAAAAGCGAAAACCACTTTTTAACTCCGTGCACAGCTGGGGATTTTCTACCTTGCAGAGGGCTGTTGTTCTGCTGTGCGAGGCTGAGATGCTCCTCATTCAGCCGCTGAAGAGGCTGATGTTGAGCGATCTCCACACTCGTGCACACGTTGCTGTCGCCGTGCACGAAAAATGTGAATGCACAAGACAGGTGCTCGCTGCAGGGTGGGTCAAAGATAAAAAGGGTTTTTTGTAATTAGATATTCATCCCCAAGCATAACAACATAATTAGGTAGGAAAAATAAACACGTGACTAACGTTTCAGATTGCAGTTAGCACAAAGATGCTAATATAAACCCCTGAAGGCTATTGAGGTTATCAATGTGCTTTCCATCAATCATTGGGAATGAGTGATGAAAGGGGGAACAATTAATTAAAATGGTTGGGATGAGGTGAAAACACAAAAACAGTCCTTGCATTATTGACTTGACATTTCATATCATGCTTACAGGTGTCAACTGTTGCTTCTACAGATATTAGATGGGAAACATATAGGCCTGCTAATAAGATTGTGCACATAGCACACTCTGCTTTAACCCAGCTAACGTTAATTAAACCTTCTTGCAATGCACATGAAAAAATACAAGTCAAAAATAATCATGGGAGATTATTATAGTCCTGAGATGTTAAAACAATATTAACATGTATTTTCAAACTACTACTGGTGGGTCAGGCGGCTAAATGCACTAAAATAGTTGTTGACATGGTTGCTGTAAAACCACTGTGCACACTCAGCATTTTCCAAAGACTGCCCTGTTCGCCAGCCAGAGAGGGCCGGCGACAGCGAGGCTGCCAGACTCTTCTGTTAGAGGTGCTGCGCTGCCGTCTCAACGCACACTTGTTGAAATATGTTTGTAGAAAAACAAGTTAAACAACAGTGAGCCCTGTTCTAAACCAACACCGCTGTTATATATCCACTACAACTGTCATACAGTAGATACAAAGCTGCCAGAGGGAACTGAGCCAAAGAACTGTGCATCAAACACAAGTCAGCCTGGATCAACACAGCCAAAAAGCAGAGGCTCAAATTAGCTTGTCAGGGAACTCCACTCAGGGAACCCTACTCTGAACCAGCTACTTATGTGCTGCTGCTGCTGGTTCACCTCAGGCATGTATTTCAACAACAACACAGACATGCTTTACTGTGCAGCGGGGAAAGTGAAGGTGTGGGCATTAAAATGTAATAGAACTTAAGCTGCCAGCTGGATAACTATTACTTCGATGAAAAACTAGGTGGATGTGTCACGCTGATAATGTAATAAGAAAATAGTTATAATCCTGTCATACACAACCACATTGTTACATCTGTAGAATTATAAGAATCTAAATGTTCTGTATTGCAGGCGACATGTATGTACTTGCAAATGCTTCATTAACACGAGTTACAACTGACCTCAGAGTACAACAACAAAGAGAAGCGAAATCAGAACAGCAGATAAGCAGTCAGTTTAGTGACGTGGATACACTACTTAAGGAAAGCCTTGTGTGTATTTGTTCAAGCTATCTTTCTTATAGTAAAATGATGTCTCATTACCTTAAAGTGCTATCTAATTATAACAGCATAGTTGGAACAATACAGCTGCAAAAACCACATCAAAGCTGATTCCCAAAAGGGGATTTTGACAATTAAAGGCTGTCTTAAGGCAGGAACTGTTATGGAAGCATCGCAAGACATCTCCTCCAATGGGGCTTCCCAGAATGCTTTGCAGCACACATTTGCTTAACATTCATAGGCATCCGTCTTTAATATTTTCATGAACACGCATAGTATTTTGCATGCAGGCTTCAAACCCTTTTCCCAACTAATGTATCATGCTGCACAGTTAGTCCACCTCTTTATAAGCACAACCCCCACATGATGCAAATCTTAAACCAGTCTCTGATACCAAAAGCTGACTAATGTTCAGTCATTCAGCACAAGCTCAAATCATGAAATCCTGCTCTACTGCCATATTTATCTTCAGCGATGTTGCTTGTGTGTTATAAACAAACTCCCTTGACATGCAAGTATGACAGTTATGATGTAGGTAGACAAGACCATTGCCAAATGGGTAAGTGGCACTTTTTCAACTTCTGAATAGGTATTCCGACTTTTTTGACTAAAAAAAAGTGTTAACATGTTCATATTAAAACATTCCCAACTAATTGGGCAACACAACTCCCCCTTCTTTTTAGTGGAAAATGATTTTGTGAAACATCTGTTGGTAATGTTGGGGATTCATTAATAGCAGCATTTACAATGACAAAAGTAAAACCTGTCATGATTAGTAAATCAGTGAGTGAGGATAGTATTTCTGTTAAAACTAGAAAACCACAGCCATCGATAAGATTCCAGCTCCACCCTGATGTTGAACCAATACAACAGGTAGAGGTAGAGATTCAAACAAAACGCACAACTGCTATAACTTGCTACCCGACAATCGGTTAAGTGTCTGCTTTAATTAGACAATTTATGGCATGTCGTATAACTTTGTTGACTGCTACTTGCTTGTAAGCACTTTGAGCACCAGGAAAAGCGCTTTATAAATGTAATGTATTATTACTTGGAAACAGGACATACCTTTTATTAATGGTCTTCTCCTCCTTTTGGTATGGCTTAACAAACCACTTGCCGATGCGAACAAAGCCACGGTTCATGAGACACCGCTCCAACAGGTTGTGGATGGCTTTGAAAAGAAGCGTTCTACACTCGTAGGACAGGCCACTCTCCCACTCACCATCCTCTTCACCTGAGACATTGCAGATACAAGAAATCAGTTACTTGAAAGAAAAATATATCACTTCTTCCTGATAAAAAAAACTGTCTCATGATAACTGTGATCAAATAAATGGGTTGACCCGTATAAGGGGACTTTGTAATGTTTGTAAACAACTAATTGCATAATACCTAAAGTGACCTGTTTGAGAATATGAAAACATTTGATTTCAACATTCATCTTATTGATAATTATACAATAACATGATCCAAAATAGAATTAGTAAGCCACTTAGGTGATAACATTGGTGACTTATGTGAAACGAAACAAACAATTACACTAGAAACAGCATTATTGTGAAAAGCTCAAAAATGTATCTGCAAGTGGATATGTGTTTGAATCCTGCTGTAGTCACTTGTGCTTTATTAAAAGCCATATAACTCGAAATTAAACCTGCGGAATGACTTTGCATTTATCTAAGATTTGTGAAAAGGTGGCTCTCTCTTGTCTCTGTGTTGTTTTCAACTAGCACTTGACCCTCCTTGAGACAGGAGACAGAGAATCTGGTCAGTGGAGCAGCCCTTAAAAAAAGGGAATTGTTTGAGAGATATATTATTAAAGAAAGATGCAAAGAACCCTTGGTCCAAAATCAAGACTGAGTCAGGTGAGTGATGAACAAACCTTGTTTACATGATACTGTACATCCGTGGCTGAGAGCCAATGGATTCTCACAACTTATTATTATCAGACCTCAGATCTTTAAAATTGCATTTTAATTAATTGCCACAGTTCAGAATTGTTATCATCGTCATCAAACCCTTAACATGTTTAAAACATGAACAGAGCTTTTAATATGGACAAATGTTGCCTGCAGCTCTAGACTGTATCTTTTAATAATTTCAACCACTACACTCTGTATTATTATTTTCTAAATAACATAATGAGGCCAATTCTAGAGCACTTAACAAACTGCTTGGATTCTATGAGAACATGCATATAACTTGGGGAAGATGTGTTGATACTGTTGCTATTTACACTGAAGAATTAGATGTATTATAGTGTATCCAATTCTGATAGACATGGAGGTGTTGCATGTACTTACTTGAGAGCTCATTATGGATAAGCTCGGCAAAACTGGGGTCATCCCCCCACCAGAAAAGCCAGAGCTCCCTGCGACCCGGGGTGTGGTGCCTTCTCCACACACTCAGCACATCTGCAGACAGGCATCGGCTGAAACTACACAATATAGGGTCTTCCTCGGTCACAGGGAAAAGGATGGGCGATGAGGTGGGTCCTTGCCATACAAATCGCCGCCATTTTATTCCAGTCAAATCAGCCTAGAAAAAAGAGAATAACATTGTCAGAATGAAGCACAACATAGCTGCACAACAGGAGGTCAATCATCTGTTGTTGGCTTTATGACTCTGTAAGTGTGTATGTGTGTTTCTTCCCATGAACACAGTGTTTTTTCCCATAAACACACACAGTGATGTGAAGCTGAAGACAGCTGTCATTCAGAAAATCACTTTGAATGAAAAAAAAGTTGAAAACTGAGACTTGCTGACATCTTGGAAAGTTTTGCAATACTTTGTACATCTGAGACCACAATCATGCCTAAAAACATAACTGTCATGAGGTAATTTACTCAACTGTTATTAACAACAAGTGACGCACCACTGCATGTCAGTATCATATCTGATTAGTTTGTCTAATTTATTAACAGTTACTATGTGATTTTACCTCCAATATTAATATTGTTTAATACAACATTGTCATTGTAATTTATGAAATGTAAAATGTTTTGAAATGTTAAAATAATTCGCCAGTTGGCTTGACCTGTTACCATCATAACGTTAATGCTAGTTGGGTATGTCTGTAACCAATGCAGTGTAAACATGCAACTATGCCATTTTCAGGGAAAAGTCTTCAGTGTACTTGCTCTGCAGTGTGTGCTGTCTTTATCATGAAAGTTATCTAGATCATGATGTGTATTTTGCAGGCCCGATGCCTTAAAGCCAGTCTGCAACTGACGTTACAAAGCTTGTTGCCTGATTAGCCAAAATGGCTTTCTGGCCTCTCAGTATCATAGCTAACGCTAGCTAGCGCATATAGCAGAGACTTACCAGGCAGAAGAGATTGGAGTGGCAGTCCTCCAAACTGGCCCCGTTTGGTACAAAGCACGAACTCATCCTTTCACTGCGTGGTTGTAACGTAAAGGTCCATTGTCTCAATCACCGTCTGGGGCAATAGCCGATGTAGGTAACTTGCTGTGGAAGCGGTGTTCCGTTGTAATTATACCGTTTAAGCGCTGACCAACTTGCTAGCTACAGCTAGCTGCCGCTAGTCAACCAGACAACTTCTAACCGGCGCTAGCCACCACTAGCCCGGTAGCTAAGCTAACGTTAGACAGGCACCCAACGTCAACTGTAAGCTTCTAGCTATTCGGTTCATCAATCCTATTTGAAATGTATTGTCTGATCTGGTTAGCCGCAATCTTGCTACTACATTACCTTATTGAATAGTCAACGTAAACATGACCAGAACAGACAAACGACAAATCAAATACCAGAAAAGTTAGATGCGCAATAAAAAATACGAGCTCGAAAACTAAAAAACTTCACCCCAAAAGCTTAGTTCCCGGTGTGCTAATGCTAACGCTAGCTAGCTGATCTGAAACAATTTCAAAGCAAAGGAACTCTCCCCTCCCCCTGATCTCTCCTAGCCTGCTAGCACAAAAGCTAACATACCAGAGCTCCAACGCTAGCTTGCTAGCTAAATAAAACAATTAGCTACACCGCCCTCCTTTTCGCTAAAACCATCACAGGGCTCCGTCATAGTAAAACTACTCTTAAAACAAACGAAATGCTAAATTGGCGATACTACTCATCGGCTACTTTTCTCTGCCTGATCCATGGGTCCTGCAGATTTCCATTATTTCAGTTCATGGATTGAATTCTTTAATGGCGGCCAGGAGGACAACTCTGCCTCTCAACTCCTATTGGCCAATTTGTGGTAATGGGGGCGTCATCCGTCTTCAAGTAGCTCCATGACTTCACAGTTTACAAGATGAGAGCTCCAGTGCATCTGTCATACAGTCAGTGGTCACTCCTCAATGATGTCTGTTACTTAACATGTTTCACATGCAACATCTGCCGCATGTGACTGTTATAAGAAACTGAGATATTTATACAGTAAGTTATTGGGGTGTTTTTTTGCACATAATATGAAATATTATATTTGAATATTAGGGGGAAATTATAATGTCTGTCTGGCGTTTTGGTTTGTGCATTGATTTATTCTGCAGTATGAAGTTGTCTATGTCAATTTTTGCAGACAAAGATGGGGACATTACTGATCACAGAGGTATTTATTAGGTTACTAGGGTGATCAAATGAATCTCAGCTTCAAAGAGCAACAACTACTTTTTTCCCGCCGCTATACTACTGTGCTAAAATGAGCTTTCCACAGCTAATAACGTTGACATTTTGAGTGCAAAGTGCACTTTAAGGAACATTTGAGTTGGTTTTATTTTAAAACATATTAATTAACTTAGACGTATATGGACATATAAAGAGATCTCATCCTGTCGTATCCCAACCAAACCACAGGGCGGAGACTTCACACAAGCAATACCCCTGTACGTCCCACCCATAAAGGCGGTGCGCCGGATGCATCGAATAAATGTCAACATGCCGGAGACTTCCAGAGAAGACGAGGAAATGACTGTTAGACAACAAAGATATCAAGGACACCAGTCGTCCAACAACATCGTGTCTTCAATATCCAAGTTTGCAGACGATCATTTGACCCTTGTGCGGGTAGGATTCTCCGTTTTGCAACCTACAAATGACTGGTGATACACAGGCATGGACCTGCAATGTTATCGTCCTAATGCACGTGAGCCACCTGCAACTACGTTTCCGTGGCGGTAGTTCTAACGTATTGGTAAAAGAGGAGGGAAAAAACATATATAAATGCGATTCAGAAATCTGTTCTTCAATTTTTTTTTTACAATTCAGGAACAACTCCTTAAAAACTACCACGTTGTCACAACACAGATATCCTGCTGGGCTTCACCGGGTGTCCCCAGTGGGTTTCCGGTCATGCCCCTGTGTCACTAATGTCTCTTCTCATTGTCATTATCCACATGCTCTGCTGGATTTATGGTATCTGTCAACTGCAACCCTCTCTTCCTCTCTATTCTCTTTTCAGAACATAAGCACTGGACTGGCTGTTGTTGGCGTTATAGTAATAGGACGGAGTATCAAACTGGTAAGAGGGTAACGGCGGCACACATTGTATCATATAATATTGGCCTTTAAGGATGTTAATGAAATGCACTTTCAGAAATGTTACCCAAATGAGTAATCGGACATGGCCACTCAGCTGTCTTTTTCCACTTCCACTTCTTCAGATCACCACATTTCATGCTGTGTCTGAGATCCCAGCCCGTTTCATTGAGAGGAACGTCAGCCTCCGTGGGAAAGTTCATTCAATCACAGAGAGAGGACTTAAAGTGGAACATGTTCCAATATATCTGCCAGTGCTCTCTGGGATACTTTCAAGAAAACAAGGTAATGCAGGGTATCCTCTGAGACACACACACACACACACACACACACACACACACACACACTTATATGGGTACTTACACAAGTATAACTTACATGACTTGTACACATTTAAATGGTCCAATCAGCACATGTATTATTCTCCTGTTTGTTCAACAGCTAAACAATTTACTGCAGACCTGTACACCTTTGTATAGTTATAACCAAAAATGTCTTTGTGGCATTTTTACTTTGTCAAGCTGTTTGCAATTGATTATCCTTTCATGAGTCATAGTGACAGGTAAGCTTGTTACCAGTATTATCAAATTATGGAATTCACTGAGCAATTACATCAAGCAGCTTATGCTTTATAAAGCATGCTCCATCAGCAACTTTAGTGTGAAGAACTCACATGAACAGATTGTCAAATTGCTCACATATTACCTTTGTCCCAATCGACCTCAGACCAATTAAAACTGGTTAGACCCATTGTGTTGTACTGTGTCTGTTAAAGATAGTTTACTTGTGTTTATTTTAAACATGTGGCTGAGATTGCTGTTTTTTTATATAAAGTCTCAGTCAATCCCAAAAGGGCTTCATATTGAATTTCAATGCTTCAAAACTGTTTTTGGTACAAGGAGAATCTGGTCAATAGTCTTGATTCGTAAGTTATTGATCTTTCCAATGTTAGACTTTATTTATGCAAAGTTATTGTACATCTGCCTGTGTTTCCAAAAAATATGGCTTTTGTAATGTAAGTCTCTTTAATAAAAAATAAAAAAAACATTGTGGTATTTGATATGTGGATGTATTGGTACCAAAACGTCGGTATCATATTGGCACAAATATTAAACAAAAAATCTAACTAAAACAATATTCAGTAACTAACATTGTGCATTACTACATGGTCAGCTATAACCTATACGCTTTACTATAACACGTATGGTAAATGGTTGTTTGATGTGCTCTTAGGTGTGTGCACGTCCCCAATGCTGGTGCATCTTGCAGGAGTGGAGTTGACTCCAGAGGGCAGGGAATGGCTGCAGAAGAACCTGGCTCCTGCACAAACAGTCTGGCTAAAACTCATCAGTCGAGAGGATGACAGGCTTCACTGTTTGGTGTCTCAAAGCAGGGTGAGGCATCTCATCACTAGGATAAAGGGAAGGGGGATTATCAGTCTCACAACCAAAATCATATTTGTATACATGATGTCAAACTGATATTGCAGGATGTGCTTTCCTTATCTTTCCAGGAGGGGTCGATGTTTAGCTATTGTGTGAACGAAGAGGTCCTTCGGCTGGGTCTGGCTCGCAGTGCACCCGTGGTTGGGGTCCGGCCCGACTCTCGCCTCTACTGGCGTCTCCTCAAACGGCTGCACAGGGCAGAGGTCAAAGCTGAGAGGAAAGGGTGGGGACTGTGGAAGGAGGACAGCCTATGGGAGAGAGCCTCCAAGGCGGTCAGGGACAATGCTTTATTCAGACTGATGAGGAGGATTTTTAAGAGGACTTGATACACCAAGTGACTTTGCCATTCCAAGACAAAACATCTTGATCAAAACGAGACAACTTACAGTTCTTTTTTCTACTGTATCCCTTGTTTTGCCCCCTGATATATCTAAAAAGGCTCACCAGGTTATGTGCCATCCATCTCTGATTTGTCATGTGAGACAAATATGCCAATGAATGCTTTGAAAAAGAAAACTCATTTTTTTCATTACACCTGTTGCAAAGGTGTGTGGTTTGTTGTTGCTGTATTTCAATCTTTAGACATTTGAAATGATTGTAAAACTATATCTCATACGCAGACATGAATCCCTTTGCTTTCACTTACCCCATTAAAACACAGCCAAGCATATCCTTCTGTTGGTGTGTGTTGGACACCCCACTAATCACACGGCGGGGGCGGGGTATGTTGATGGTGTTCAAAATGGAGAGGGGGGTCCACTGGTACCCTCTTACTGTTGCTATAGAAACACTATATGTGAAATACAAAGCGAAGAAAAGGCCAAACTCTATTGGCCGCTCCCTCAAACCCCATGGGAGCCTTACATGTTGTGTGTATGAGGGGGTCTTTAAGTACCTACAAAGAGGGTCCTTTTAGCTGTAATGTGAGGAGCTGGGCACTGAAATAGAACAGAAATGAGACTAAGCCTGGAACCTGCCCTTAATTTATAATGGCATCATTGCAGAAATGTGGGAGAAAAAACTAATTAATAAATTAATTGAATCCATTGATTTTCACTGTATATTATCTCTTGAGTCCTAAAACATAAGCACCAAAAGAAAACGTCCTGTGTGTCCAGGATTAGCCTCATGTGATTGTCATTATCTTTTGCAGAACAAGGCCACTGCTAAATTTACACCTTGTGCTTCCATGTGCTGTGGTGCGGTCCATGCTTCGTCCATGCACGGCTGAGGAGGAGGAGGAAAAGGGCCTTCAAATTAAGCCAGACTGATGTGTGTCCTTTGGGGGTCTCTGTGCAGTGAGAAGTGGCACTGAAGCAGTCAACCCAATGGGCTCAAGGAGATTAGTGCAGGGGAGGTGGGTCGCTGGGGCAGAAGGGGATTTCGGGTCCGAACACAAAGGCAGTAGAGGAGGAGTCACAGGGGAAGGGAAAGGGAGAGAAGAGTGGAGGGGGGGTTGATGAATCAGCTCTCTTTTGTTGTGCAAATGTTACTAGAGACTGTTACGGCCCATGAGGCTTGTGATTGGTGGCCTGGTTTAAATTGTAAGGTGCATTTCAGGCGGATGGCTGTTGCTGCCAGACTTTGAACTGTCACTGAGGGAGGAGTGGGAGGGAAACCATGGCTGAGAAAGACAACAGGGGGAAGGCAGAGCAAACTTTTTGAAGCTGGAGTTAACAAGAAAAATGTATGTTCCTGAACATGTGTGTGTATTATGTGGCTGCATTTTCTTGTTTAACCTCAAATTATGATTCATTAATAATGCAGGTAGGAACGTTGAGTGCAATTATTGGTCAGTATTTGAATGTTACATAAGGGCATTGATGTTTTGCATAGTCACCTGCCATACTGTATAATTAATATAACTCCACAATTTTTCCAAATGTAATCTTAAAGTTAATAAACCCGAAGGAGCAGGATGAAGATTATTAAAAAAAAACAAATTGAAAACGGTTTTAACTTCATAAGAGAATTTAAGACAACTTGCTTCCTCGTCATTTTCAAATTATACTACTGTGGAAAATGAGAACTGTTACAGTCATCAACAAAATAAATACAATGACAAATAGTATATTATCATCAACATTTAATGTAACTAAAATGTATAGTTATTGTCACACTGGTAGGGTAATACAGAATCAGAATGTGTTTATTTCTCATATAAAATAATTGAGTCATGCTGTTCCGCTTTTTGTTCCTTGTGTTGAATGGAAGATCGGAATTAATGACTAATCCATTTCTCTTGTCTTCTTTGTAAATGTAGTCCACTCCGAAATCCACTCCAGGTTTTTCCTTAATCCACTTGTCCCCCACACTAGTCTTTTGAAAAGACACCGTGCTTGATGTAGTGGTGGGTATACTTGCCCAAACCAGTGAAGTTGTTGGGACATTTTCTCCTTTGGAAACCACGCTGCTGGGACTAACTCTGATGTATATTACACCTGTGCCATGGAATTCCAGAGCTTGATGGACTACTGTTCTGGGGAAAGTGGCAAGATTTTATGAAGAAGCTGACAACGTGGTTTCAGAATCTGAAACTGGAGTGACACAAGTAAGTAAGCCTATGATGCTTGATGTGATTCTTAAAAAAATAGCACGTGATAACTCAGAAGGTTCATTTTCTCATTTAAAAAGCCTGTTTTTTGGAACTTAACTCCACTTTTCTTACTATGGCAATTTGCATACAGTTAGCTGTCACTTTAAATGTACTGTTGGTTGGATACTGTATGTATGCAGTATCCAAGCAGTTTTGCACCGAAACACGTGTGCCTGTAAATGGCCTGGACACACAGACTCTGTAATAAAGAAACTTAAGACTTTTCAATCATTATCTATATTGTACCACTCCAGTTGTAATCAGGTTTAAAACACTTTTTCTATTCTTTGATCAATTTGACATCCACAAATTGCCTAACCTGATTCGGTATACACAATTGTCATGTTATTTGGCTTGTGTTTCTACTAGAATCAATGCTTAATCTGGGTGATTGATAAAATATTTTCTGCTGCATGTGTTTTACATTGTCATGCTCCTTCCCATTGAGTTTTAACAACAGAGATTTGCAGCAGGGCAGCATAACAAAGGCCTTTATTACTCTCAGCCAGTAGCCATCCTCAGAGAGAAAGAGATGGGGCACTCCCCCGTCCGAGAGCAGGGTCCTTGGGGATTTTTTTATTTGATTTGAGTGGTTGTGTGTAGCTGCCTGGCTGTGAAAGACAAAGAGATTTAAAGAGACAGGAATCTGGTGTGACACTCTCACAAATGCACCCTTTTGAAACCTAAAGGTAACTCCATATTTTGTCATGCCTGATAAACAATACAAACAGTTGTCAACATACAAGGAGAGTCTTTGTCAGGCAGTGTTGGTGAAGCTTATTTGTAAATTTGTACTGAAATAAAGGCCTCAGGTCCAAACTCATAGGTTTTATTTTGCGCTGTTTGCAGCTTTTAATTTAACTTTATCCGAATGCTAATATTTTATTTTACCTGCTGTCACAATAAACAAATAATCAACTTAAGACATAGCTTTTCAATCTGTGTGTGTGTGTGTGTGTGTGTGTGTGTGTGTGTGTGTGTGTGTGTGCGTGCGTGCTGTGTGTTTGTCTGTGTGTGTGTGTGTGTGTGTGTCTGTCTCTGTGTGTCTGTCTGTGTGTCTGTGTGTCTGTGTGTCTGTCTGTCTGTGTGTCTGTCTGTGTGTCTGTGTGTCTGTCTGTGTGTCTGTCTGTCTGTCGGTCGATCTATCTGGCCCCTGGACTAAAATGAGTTTGACAGCCCTGCTCAAATGAATGATGTCAGCATCTTATTAGGACTATTCCAGGAAACCAGTCCAAGGTGTAAGATAACAAACTGAGAAAGCATTTATCTTGCAGAGTTGACGCTTTAAAGATGTAAATATGCTGCGTGCAGAATGAAAATAAAGCTCTGAAAGGGAGAGAAGAATGGAGCAGAAGCTGGAGCTCTGTCACAGCGTGCCGTGTTACTGTGACAGAGCTTTCTGCTGCAGAGCGACAGGTGAGGACTCACACACCACAGCACTACTGAACCACAGCCACTAACACCACAGCATGCTCTGATTGGGTGGTGGAATCATTGTGATGTAGCCACTTCATGACGGATCAAACTACAGCTACAGACACTCGTCATGCACTAGTGAGAACAAACCAGCAGATCTACATCACTGTCTGAGAGAGGAGTCCAGTGTCCACACACACACATGAAGATGATGATGATGTCAGGATACGTTACATGGAAGCAGTTCTGTGGCCATGGGAGGAATCCCACTGCGTTTTTGGAAAATTATGAATTTTTCGTAAACACGGAATGGAGAGGGGTGGTTCCGTAAATGTGCTGCTCAGTATTTTTGGTTTATAAAATCGTTTTTATACTAAGAATTTATATGTGTTTATTGAGAGGATTTAAATAGAAAAACCCACTCTATTATTTTTCTTTCCTCCATTATTGTCTTTGAACTTTAACATTTGTAATTTGAGATAACTTTGATGGACTAAGGCAGCATATTTCTTGTTTAGGACTCGAGGGAAATAAAGGTATAACAGCAAGGGCAGCAAACAGGACTCAAAACAGCATTTCCAATTTGGGACATTTTGGAATCAATACAATATTTCTAATCCAATCTAACCAGACATAACTAGTTGTTGTGTACATGTAAAAATACATTTGAAATGGAGAGTGGTGGATATGTAAATTAACTGCTCATCATAGCTACACTTATTTTCATTTCAAATTTACAAATATTGTTATCCCCCTGGATGGGTACTTTGTTTAAAGCTTTTCCTCTTCACTTTTGCTGTAACAGTGTATATTTCCTCTGTGGGACGAATAAAGGTGTTCCTATTCTGATTGTATATTGCCACTTAATAACTGTAGTTTGGCTTTTTGACTACTTAACCAAAAGCAGAGAGCAGCAGGTCGATGAGGATGGATGGTGTTTGGAGGCTTGAGGCTTCACTTGAAGGGGCTCTATAACCTCCTGCTGCATGTGGAGGTGGATCTGTTCTGATATAATGTTCATAGAAATACTCGGCAGCAGAACAGGCTTTCTGGATTTCTGTTTATATTTAACGTTTGTATGACACCCCCTGACCAAGTGCCCCCTCTGCGCTGTGTGTCGTGAACACTGGACCCAGCTCACTGAAGTGAGCTGATCTGCCTCAGATTGGATGCAGGAGCAGACTGAGGCTGCTCTGCAGTGTGGGGGGGGGGGTTGGGCTGGGTGTACCTAGCAGTGCGGCGGCCTGGCTGCGTCCTCCAAAGCTGCGGCTGAAGGAGCTGTGCCTACTTGCGTAGGAGGCCGGCCGGCTGGGCAGCCAGGGCAGCAAGAAGGGGGGGAGGTCACAGGGCCGCCACTCCTCCAGCACGAAGGCCACCTCGAACCACTTCCTCTGGAACAGGGCAAAGTCTTCCAGGGCGGCAGCCGACCAGCCTCCAGCGGGGTTGGGGGGCGGCTGGGAGACGGAGCCTGCAGAGGACAGCGTTATGACACAAGTATACAAGTATGTGCAGAACTGTATACTGAGATGAAAGCAGAGAGAGCATTTGAAATCCACTCACCATCCTTCTCTCCAACAATCCTGTAGAAATAGAATCCGTAGACGAAGCTGCGCATGGCATCTCCAGAAGCGTGGGACACAACGCCTTCATCCAGCATTTTCTACACAAAGCAAAAACACAGGAACATTCATTCACAGATGAGCACATGCAGAGAAAAGTAACACAACATTTCCTTAAACAAAAGTTATATTTCATTCCTATTTAACGCCAGAGGCAGTGCTTAACACTCAATGTTATCCATCTCGCACATGCACAGGTCGAGTATTTAATATCAACAAAGTAATATGTGATCTGGGGTGACGTAGGGCAGCCCCGCCTATACCAGCCCACATCACCATCAGAAATGTTTCTATTATTACCTTTGGAAATAACATAGCCGGTTGCTCTTCGTTGGTAGCCCTGTAACCGTTGTGTTGGAGTCTCGGTTTTGTCCTCTAAGGGCTGCGATTGGTCATAAACGGCTGAACATATTACGCTGACAGACCGGTGTTTTTCGCCAGGGATGTTCGGCAAATTGCGGATTCCGCTAGGCTAACGATGTGTCTTCCCGGCTGAGAGACTAAACAGGCAAGTATCTCTTTATTAAAGTCGTCCTGTTTCCGGGTTCCGGTTATCGGCAAGGCTGCGGTGTAATTAGCCGGTGCCTGCCGTTTCTTTATGTTGTTAGCAAATTTAGCTGTTGCTCCCTGGCGATTGTTTTCGCTTGTCAAAGCGTGTTATTCCTTAGTGGTGATTAACCATGCTAGAACAAGAAAGTTAAGTGGCAAGGAGGAATACGTTCCTTTTTGTTTTTGAGTTTAAGTTGATGACGATTTCCTTTGCTTGTCAAAGCTTGTCATTCCTATGTTGTGATTTGAGCAGGTGCTAAAGCCCTATGCTACATTTTTGTTTTCACTACTGGTGAGTGCTTTCGCTCAGAAGTAACCTTTTCTCTCTGAAGAGAGTAATAATTGAGATAACTATTACACCTAAGAGCCCCGCCAGTGTAAAGCCCCAGTAGGGTCTCCACTAAGGGGTAAGGAGAATTACAATAGTTTTATTTTGACTTTTTAAGTGCCAGACTCGAATACGAGTCTGCAGAGTAATTTTTCGAGTGAGTGCTTTCACTCAGAAATAACATTTTCTCTCAGAAGAGAGTAATAATTGAAAAAACACTGTAGAGCATGCTAGGCTCACATGGTTGCCGGACTTGCATGGCTCCACTGCTAGCTGCGGATGGACATGATGAGTGCCCCTCATGCCTCGGTGTTTTCCACCTGAGGGAGGGGCTGAATGAATTGCAGTTTCATGCCACATGGGCTGAAGGTTGTCCGACTGGCCGAGGTGAAAGACCCACAAGTTGATGGTGAGCTACCCCTGTCTGGAGCAGAAAAAAGATTTCAGAGGTGGGATATCCCGCCGGCTAGAGCTCCTACCCCACAAGAATTTGATGAGGATGCCCTTCCTGGCTCACTCTTTGGTGGCCCGTTTTCATAAAAGGTGCCCAGCGGCGAAACCCCCACGGGCTATCAAGGTTCCCTTATGGGACTTGCCAATGGTGCTGGAAGCCCTCCTTTCCCCACCCTTTGAACCCCTGGGGCAGGCAGAGCTTAAATGGTTTTCGGCAAAGTTTTTTTTTTTTTTTGCGATGTCACCAACCAAGCGTGTGAGTGAGCTTCACGCCTTGTTAGTGAGTGAAACGTGCATACGCTGGTTCTCAGGTGGCACAGGGGTGGCACTTTAGCCTAACACATCTTTTTCACTCAAGAGGCTGCCTTCGGCCCACTTAAATCAGGTCATAGAGCTAGCAGCTTATGACTCCTCAGGCTTGCAGAACATGGAAGCTGCTTCGGCAGAGCTGCTCTCCTTGAAATATGATGTACAGGCGACTGCTGGCTTTGCTGCTCTGATGGCCTGTTTGTCTGCAACAGGGGCCCTAAGAAAGGGGGCGCACTTTCCAAACAGAGGCTTTCTGGGTGGACTGTTGAGATGATTGAGGAGGCATATAGATAAAGAGGTCTGCCTTTGCCTCTTAATGTTAAGGGCCACTCCACCAGGAGTGTCTCAACCTCCCGGGCAGCACTACGAGAGGTACCTCTAATACCTCATTCACACCAACGCAACTCCGGTTCAAGCTCCGTGCTAGAGCTTTTCAGGTTATTTATACTATATCATGAAATGACATTTTTTTTTTTCTCCTTTATTTGCATAAACAAAAATAACAGATTTTATGAATTTTATTACAAACACGCCAACAATTAAATATCAGATTAATTAGTTCAGTAAAATGTCGCTAAAACGTTCAATAAATTTTTTTTTGAATACTATTATGATATTTGTAAATGTCAATAAAGGACCGATTTTAATGCTAGAAAAAAATGTCACATTGGGGTTGGAAAATATACGCATAAGTTATTCAAACGAAACAAGTCAGTCCCCCAGACTATTTGGCTCATTTATATGTTATGTATTTAGTTAAACGACAATTTATACACCGAGTAGTGACGTGCGGCATCGGTGATAGGTTCAAGACGAAAGTCGTCCCGTCGAGACGTCGGCCTTGAAGAGTAGAGAGAAGGGTTGAGAGTACTCTAGGCGACGCCTCCGGTGTTTGTAGGGTGCATTCTAGACAAGACGCAAAGACCGAAAGGTAAACAACAGTAAACAATTCAATTACCACCCCGTCAATAAGATGTGGGGACACGAGAGTTCATAATTCGAGATGAATAAATTTGTAATCTTCTTCAAGTTCATAGTCCATTAGTCTTACGTAGAACATGATATTGATGCATACATGAATTTACGTTTAATATTACAAATAGCAAAATTGTTTAGTAGTATTACGTTTGTTTATAAGAAAACTATGTAAAGAAAAAATACAATAATCCTGTACAAAAATAACCCTTACCATATGATACAATTTTCTCCTTCTTTAACCATAGAAATATCTTGGTTTTTGTTTTGTATGGCAACTTTGGGTCCTTTTTTGCAACAAAAACAAAGTAATGATTTATTTTTCAATAATAAATATAGTGCCGGGAACCCCAAACCAAATTGTTTTCAATAACGGACAAGATTTAAAAATAAAATAGCAAACACCGACACGAGAGACAAATTGTCCTGCCCGACGAACAGTTGACGGGACGGGGCCTTGTTTTTCCTTCAAGGTCAGTTTGACGAAGAATAGTCGCGTCTCAGCAAGTAAACCGGACCAGTCTTGTGTGCACCTCCCCGCACCGGTGTTGTACCCTACCGACACCTAATGTTAGTACGTCCATTGTCAGGATGGACAAAGTCTTTAGTACCAGTTCCTTTCGGTTACTCCCTTTAAGTATTGTTCAATTTCCAAATGTAGAAAAACGATTATCTATATTAACTATAGAAGTGTGTTTATGGGTCTAGAGCCCGGGTATCTCGGTACCGCGTGAACACGAAAAGGAAGTCGGGGCGGGAGGGTAGGCGACTAAATAAAAGGTTTACATCCACCTTATCCCTAAAGTGTTATAAGTCGTTGACTAGTTGTCCACCGACATACTACGGATTCTATACGGTGATATCCTTTCGGTTTCTTTCTCCGTTGGAACGCGAATCAATCGAAGATCTACGATTTATATTTGCCTATCATGCTTTACATTGATGCGGGCCAAGATACTTAAGACGCCATAACTCGGCGTCTCCGTCACAAATTGTAGGTTCCAATAGGTAGAGCGGCACGCGTCCCGCAGCTCGATAAAGTATGAGTTGTTTATTATACAAACTGGGTGCAGTGGGAGTCTTTACAGAGTTCCGCTTAGAAGAGCCGGTTCTAAGGCTCACTGTCTCTTGAAAAAAAAAAAAAGAAACCCCCCGGCCCAGTAGGTCTTAAGTACTTGGCAATACAAGTGGTAACGGAGTGATAGCAAGAATAAAGTAAGGATAACTGGCGGTCCCTCCGTCACCTGAATCGTGACCTTCTACCTATGGTTGTACATCGGTGCGTCCTTAGTCAGGGCTGGAATGGCCCTCTCGGCGCACCCTCCGTCGTTGTAACTGTCGATTTTTGTCCCGTTTACCCACGTTCCCTTCCCGGGGTCCTTGCGGTGCGGGCTTGTTTACGAGGTGATTAAAGTGGAGTAAGTCGTAGTTGGCCACAAAGTCCCGGCGCAAGCCTCCGACCTCGAACTTTTCGTGGCCCAAAAGGACTAAGTGTGGCGGTCGCCTCGTCCGGAGAATCGAGGCCTAGAACCAAGCAAAGTTCGTGGTTATTTTAAACAGGCCGGATCTCGGTTTTCGTGGTGTAACTGCAGTGCGATTGCAGCTTCAACCCCCGCCCTTCCCCGTCCCCCGCCGCTAGTTGAGGACTTGTTGTTGTTTTTCGCCCAAAATCAGGGTCAAACGGTGTGTGTGCTACTCTTTGAACTTGTTCGTCCTTCAACCAGGTGACTTCTAGTGGTTGATGGATGGACCCTTAGAACGCAGAAGGCTTCTGCCATGTCTCCTTTCGACGCTCGGTCGTTCAGGCCGAGTGGAACAACAACCAACAGCCACACGTCCCGACACTCCCAACAGGGCGCGTGCAAACACCGGAAATCCTTCCTCGGGGTCCGTGCGGTTTGGGGCCAATGCGAGTACTGCGTTTAACCAATGCGAGTACTGAGTTTGCTACGGCGGTTACTGCGTCGTGGTCAGTCTGAAGGACCCGCCACCACGTTTTCTCGGTCTCGATTTGGCTTCTTGACCAAGACTTGGACTTACTTNACAGAGCTCCCTCTATACAAATCAAACTGTAGACGGTGTGAAAGCACCTATTGTTTTAAATAATGGTCGGAATGTGACCTGTGAGCCTTCTGAATTACCGTGGGACAGCACACTCTAAACTAAAATGTTCAATCAACAAAGTAACATCTTATCTTATCTTAATAATATCTTCATATTAATAATAATAATAAATCATACAGTATGTGTCCGAAAGGAAGCAGGAGGAAGCAAACACAAAAATATACAAAAAATATACTGCATATTAAAGCAAACGATTGTAAAGGTAAAAGTATGAGCATAACAAATAAAGAAGTGTAATGTAAACATTTACATTATTATTATGATTATTTAATATATAAAGACTATATATTATTGAATTACAAG